AAGCTGGACAAGCACTTCGTCGACCACAATGAAGAAGGTGGCGTCATGTACATCCAGCAACCCAAGGGCCTCCCGTCCGCCTGCTGGGGCGGTTTGATGTCCACTCGGGCCAAGTTTCTGGGTCCACAGGGCGTTGTCATTGACGGGCGAATGAGGGATGTCGGAGAGCACAATGAGATGGGATTTCCGGTAAGTTTTAGCGAACGCGAAGAGCTTCTTTATGCCACGATTCCCGCAGTGTAAACTCTACTAACGACATCGGCAGGTGTTTGCTCAGGGCACGTCTATTCTGGGCTCGAACACATTCACGCGGGCGTCGGGGGTCAACGTCCCACTTCAATTCAAGGGCGACCTCTGGATCAACCCTGGCGACATCTTGATTGGGGATGCGGATGGTGTTGTGGTGACGCCGCCTTCATTGGTCGAAAAGGTTGTCGCTTTGTGCCAGGAGCGAGCCGAGGTCGACGAGAAGATGTTTGTTGAGTTGCGAAAGGGTGCTTCGATGGGTGACCTGATCAAGAACGTGCGTAAGGACAATTAATCAGCCGGTCATTTACAGCTGAAGGATAGTAGGTACAAATTAAGATACGCGATGTTTCATGAGTGAAACCTAAGATGGTTGAAGAGAATTCTTTTACTCTCGGTAAAATTGCTAGTGACTCGAGTTTAGTCCCGGTAAAGTTGTCCAGTCTGGCGTGGGGTATTTTCCAGGGGTTCTCACATGTCGCATCTGCCCGTTACGATTTTTGTAGCCTGTAGATAGGGAACTGTGGGGGTAATGCGAGGTGCGAAATACTACAGCACAGAAGTAATCATAATCAATCTAAGTTCTATGCTCTACGGTGCGCTCTATCATCCAAATAATTCACTCGGGTTACGTGTCATCAACAGGTCCCATTCCTCGTCCGACAGCCATGACTTGAGACTCCTCAGCCAAGCTGCATCGTCGACTTCCAGGTACGGCGTCTCTTTCATAGCCGCCTCGTGTGTTCTCACCTTCATCCGCGGCGTGTGGGGCCAATCACTGCCCCAAAGAACGCGGTGCTTGTTAGCGTCCACAAATGCGCGTACCAAGAACTTGACGTCGCAGTAGTCCGGCTTCTCCTCGCTGATGCGGTACGGCGCGCTCAGCTTCACCCAGAGGTGGCCGTCTCTGACCAGCCTCATGATGGCGTCGAACCCTGGTTGTGTCGTTGGCCGGTCGCGATACTCCTCTGAAAGCAGACTTGGTGCCTTGAGGAGCGCGAAGTGATCTGTTACCAGCTTGACTCCATGTTTTGCAAGATTCTCCCTGACAAATGGTTCCAACTTCTCCCAGAAGTCGGTCCTGGTTGTAGTCATCGTAAGGCTCCATGGCAACGCAAGCGCAGTGATTCTCCGGAGGTGAGCTCGGAGAGCTACCTTTTGCAGTTCGACATCTTCCATGGCCTTGTAACGGTACAGATTGACACGAAGCCCCCGGACACCAGCTTCATGCATTGTCCTCAATTCATCGTCGGTGGTCGTTTCTGGGTCTATGACACCGATCGCACGCGTCTTTTGTGTTCCCAGGCGAGGCACAAAGGCCTTCAGGGAGGTGCAATCATCACCGTAGGATAGGCCATGAGTGAGGACAGATCTGGTGATTCCTAGACTTTTCTTGAAGCTGTCAAAGGCAGCGATGGTCGCAGGAGGCGGTGTCAAGTGCCTGTTTGGACTGTAAGGGAACGACTCGGCTATGACGACGGGTATTTGTTAGTCTATACTTCTCGTGCGTGCACCTTATCGCAATCTGTTGATGATGATTCCAAGGTGAATCAGACTTACGTTCAAAGATATGGTGATGAGTGTCCCATCCACCGTGAGGAAACAAGTTTCTCTCAGTTCCTTCGGTCACTGTAGCTGAAGGGGCCATTGTGGATGTTGTCTGCAGCTCTTCGGTGCACTATCTTCGAAGCTTGGCTCAAAACGATAGCACCGAGAGCCACCGATCCAACGATGATTCGCTTGTTATACACATTGTTGCTTCGGCTTCCGATTCGGCATCAGAGGAATCACCCCGATCAACCGGCAGTATCCCGCAGGCGAACATTGGCAACTTGCAAATGCTTCCTTCCATCTCACCCGACGGAATCATCACGCCAGTTTGTTGGTGGAGATGGTGATGATGATGATCCTACAAGGAGTAGTCCGTCGTGTTAGACGGATGGCTCCGATATGTCTCGGACTACTCCCTGACAGGCGGGTTACTCCAGTAAGGCGGATAGCTCCTAGCTTTGGCACACCTGCGCCACACTAACCTCCGTGGAACGCGTGGATTCCGTGCGATGCGCGGATCTCTCCATCCCATGTTCCCGCCCTAGCGCCGCCACGAGGATACTTCGAACCATGGCATCTTAGTCTTTTTTTGACTGCGCAGATATCGTCTAGTCGTGTACGAAGTGGGTGTCAGTCACTTCCGTCATGTTCCCGGCAGATTACGAACACACCGAGTGTCATAAATGTCTAAGGGAGATAGGACTCTAATCGTGTGTAGAAAATTTCGTGTAATGTTTGGGTGGCTTATGCCACTTGCTACCAAGGTACCAAGTCTAAGGGAGACGGACGGAGCTCCGCGTCTCACGGGCTCATGATGCGTGCCGAAGCCCACGGATCGTTCCTGCCTGACAATACCGGGGCTCATTCATGGATTTTCGGGGCAGTCCAGTAATGTGCACTGCTGGACTATGTAAGACTGCCCAGAGGCGCACGCCTACGGCCTGCGATGATCAGTTCACTGTCTGTATGATAGACCTCTTGGCTTGATTGAATGGTTATTGGCATATACCAATGATGAGTCGCAGTAACACCTCTCCGACCCCCTTGCAATCTGTGGTTGCTGGTGCAGCTGCTGGGGGAGTAGAGTCTCTAGTTACGGTTTGTAAACTCGGTCTCGCTTTCCTAGTGATTGCAAACATATTCCAAAGTCTCTACTATACTAACCTGAGTCAAGTATCCTACAGAGTACATCAAAACGCGAAAACAACTGCTGAGTTCGTCCGAATCTCCACTACGAATTCTCGTCTCAGCCGTACGGACCTCTGGACCTGGCGTGCTGTACGCGGGGGCCAGTGCGTTCTGCGTCTCAAATGCATCCAAGTCAGGCGTACGACTTTTTACATTCGATGCCATCAGGAAAAAGCTCCCGCAAGATGCCCAAACGGGGAAGCCAACCAAGGTTGCCAATATGCTTGCCGGTGTCGCGGCTGGCGCAGCCGAGAGCGTGACAGTGGTGACCCCTGGCGAGAACATCAAAACCAAGATTGTAGAAGACAGAGCTGGCGCTAAGCGATTCAAATCGACAAGCCATGCGATCAGAAGTATCGTAGCCATGGAGGGCTTCGGAGGGCTTTTCCATGGCATCCTCCCGGTGACTCTGAAGCAGGGCTCGAACGCCCTTGTTCGGTTCACCAGCTACAATGCTCTCCTCGATGTGATCAGCCCACCGATGGAGCTCCGCGGCAAGGGGTCTCTAGCTCCAGTATTTGCAGGCGCTACAGCGGGTATCGTAACGGTCTACGCTACGATGCCTTTTGACGTCGTCAAGACCAAAATGCAAGCTCTTGAAGGCGCCAATATCCACCGTGGAACGTGGCAATGCGCATCCGCTATTGTTCAAGATTCCGGTGTATCAGGGCTGTGGAAAGGCACAACACCTCGGCTGGCGTGACTAAGTGTAAGTTCATTCTTGATGAATTTGATGCCGCTTTGGTCCCGGCTTTGCGACCGGCCACAGAGCACCAAGGCGTCGCTGACAGCCACTCACCACGTGCACTTACTGACGTGCAGTAGATATCTGGCGCATTGAGCATCACTATCTACGAGATCCTTGTCAGGTTGATGCAACAAGGCAGCAAGGATGAGGGAAGAAGGTCAGAAGCCAAGTTGTGAAGAGCGATAGCTTGCCTACGTCGAAAAGCTACTCGTACGCCATCAGGGAACTATCAATGCTCAAACACCAGCCCTAGAAGCAGGGATACGGAGCTCCGCACTCAACCCAAGATGCATCTGATCTCGTTAGTCTCAACGGGAACGTGGGTACGTATCGGGTCAAATTGCTTGTCAAACTACAATAAGAATACGATACCGAGGCCGAAGGGAACTGTCAGTGATATGTAATGGATAGTCTGCAGCCGTAAGCTTCATCGTGACTGGCTACAGGAGAATAGACTCAGGAAAGTCCCCGGTGTCAAACTATGGAGACCGGACTTGACGCTACCATTGGTATTTATACGGCAGATCTCCACAAACTGCCGAGGTGGAAAGCCTCGTTTGGGCCACCTAGCGTTGCTTTCTCGCCTACTGAGACCGAAATATATTGCGGACAGTGGGCACTGGCCTAACAGAAGGTTTGGGGATCCGTACTGGAAAAGGACCAGACGGTCTCTACTCGCGTATGCCTTAGTGTGTGCATGGCTACATCCCGTGGGGTGCCTGAGAGCAGCGGATTGCCTGCCACGACATCCGTCGTCGCTAGATCTGTACCGATGCTGCTGGCAACCCTGGTACATGCCTCTAGGTAGACAGAATGAGGAGAAAAAGAGCCTTTGCCATCGCTCCAGTTCACCCGAAACCCCTGTCCACTTTAGCCAGGCCCCTAATAATTTCTGTCTTTGCGGAAACAAATTCCCATTTTGCCTGCCCACATTGCTTACTTTTTCACTTTCACCTTGCCTTGACCAGTGCGTCCGTCTCGCCCTGCCGCTCACCCGTCGTAGCTGTAACCCCCTCACCAGAATCAAGCCACATTCCGTCTAGAACAAGATGTGACAAGCCCCGTTCCCTACCTTGTTCCAGTCCGCCTTTCTGGGTCTCTACCGAACAGGGACTACAGCGGTTGACTTTCGGGGGTGCCACCGGCGCCGATTCATTTTCTCGTTGCTCACCATGACCTGCTGGCCATGCCCCCAACAACTCTGTATGAATCACACAAACAACAGAGGACAAAAAATAATCGCAACGCTCACCAAACCTTACGGGAGATGTCATCGCGGATGAATCCGCCAAAGAAGGTGCGTCTGGCGTGTCGACGCTGTCGCACGAGACGGATCAAGGTGAGACCTTTTTTCTCCTCTCTCCCATCGGCTCAGCTCCCGTCTCCCTGGCGTGCCGTTTAGTCTGCTGGGACCGCGTTACTCCGGCCCAATGACTTTTACGAGTCTGGATACTCACTACTTACCAGTGCGACGGAGAAGTCCCTGCCTGCACAAACTGCGCAAAAGCCGGCGAAACTTGCCTCGATGTCGACAGTCAGAACTCGGGTTTGCTGGTCCCTCGCAAGTAAGTCGATACCCGCGTGTTCGCAAAGCTATACGAGCACCATCCCACCGGCTCGGTTTCACGAGCTAGACCCCTTGCTGTTTGCTGCAAGTCAAAAAAAGTTATGTTCCGCGCTGACGGCCCGATCCGGACGATAGCTTCGCAAGTGCTGCCCGGGCAAGGATTCAATGGCTCGAAGACATCATCAAATCGCGACTCCCCGATGTTGACCTATCTACCGGCCCGCAGATCGATGCGTTCCCGGACCCGAAGGGCTCGGCGGCCGTCGGCGGTGGTGGGGACCTTGAAGACGACAACGTCTCACCGCCGTCGCCTAGGTCCGGCCGGGCGGGCAGTCAGCCTACGGGCCGGACCGCAAGTCTGGGGTCCCAACGGCAGTCTCTGAAACGTTCCGCGGAGGCCGCGGGCTCCTACGATCACGACGAGCAGTTCCCGGACCGCGCACACTCAGTTGCCATGAACCTGGGGATGCTGTCCCTCAACTCCGACTTAAGCCAAAAACACTATCTGGGCTCAAGTTCCGGTGTCTTGTTCACGAACCTCATTGGGGCGTCTCCTTCGAGCGCTGGCTCAACTCCGGCGGCGTTGTTAGAAGATGTGCAAGCTCAAGGGCCTTCATCGGAATGGTACGACGCTTCAGTACCGACTGATATCTCGAAACAGTATAATCGCTCTCTACACATTTTCTTGCGCCAGGTGAGTCTACTAGCATTTTCTGGACTTTGTGCAATGGGATTCGAATACTGATCTGAAACACACAGGAATTACCAAGGAAAGAAGATGCGATCAAGCTGGTACACACTTATGTCCGTTGGATGCATCCCGATTATCCAGTCCTAGAACCGACTTCTCTCCTAAGCGCGCTCGATGCTCTGTACTCGACATTTAGCTGTCCACTTGACGATGACCCCTTCCCACATGGCTGGCCTTCTACGATGCAAGCGTTCCGGTGGAATGGCAGACAGAGACTACCTGGCGACCAGGGCGTTCATTCCGTTCCTATGCCAGTTGTGGCTTTTATACTCTTCATGGTCTTCAACATTGCGGCCATTGTCAAGGTTAGGGGACGAGTATGCGAATTCCCACCAGAAATATTCTACCGCGCAGCTCTCCATTTCTCCAAGGATTGCTTTTCCCAAATCTCTCTATCTTCGATCCAAGCGTTGGTTGTTCTCATCGTACACAGCATGCTCACACCAGCGGAAGTAAATCTATGGACTCTCATCCATATTGCTCTTGCTCATTGTGTAGAGCTGGGCATACATAGAGAGCCGTTAAACACAATCGAGCCTGCAGACTTTGAGAATCAACAGATCAGGCGTCTGACATTCTTTACGATATATTCTCTCGATAGGTAAGTCCCCTGGGAGAATCTTTGCAGCCCTGCCATCCGTTCCTAACCACCCTCAGATCTGTATCTTCCATACAAGGGCGACCACTCGGCTATCGCGACGAAACATTCGATATCAAGTTGCCCGAGTCTCCTCCCGCACACCCCAATTCATCGAGCGGCACGATCCCATTATCTTTCTCTGCAGCCGTTTTGCGGTTCGCGAGATACCAATTTGAGCTAGACCGCATGGTCTCCGACGTCAAACTGCAATTATACCATCTTCCATGCGATTCTGCATGGTTTCCTCCACCGCAAAATCCGCCAGCTCAACAAGCGAGAATAAAAGAAGAGCTCGTAGACTGGTGGGATCGGGTTTCTAGCGAGACGTTCGACTTTCCAGGAATCGACAACAGACAACGGCGGATGTGGCAGATCAAGTTGAAGGTTAAGTACCACACGACTATGGTCATGCTATTCCAACCTTCGCAGGCGATTCGCAATCCCTCTCCAGAGTCATTGCAGGTCTGCTTCAACAACGCTGCATCCATACTGCACGATTATCAGGCTCTGCACGACATGCAAGGTTTACATCATGGATGGCGCACGGTACAGAACATTTTTGCAGCTGGAGCGACCCTCATATACTCGTTCTGGACGTGTTCTACGGTTCGTCAAAACGCTTCAACGGCGGACTTATCGAAGAGCCTTCGCACATGCTCGAGCCTGCTTACTGTCGGCGGCGAGTGGTGGCCATCCGTCAAAAAGGGACAACGAAGTTTCGGCGCAATTGTTGACCTCACTATCCGCAAGCTCTACACCGGAAATATGCCCTCAAAGAACCCTCGGCTGTACATGCCACTTGGTGCAGACCGGCTCGAGGATGGCCAAAACGCCCTGGACGACGCGGACGGAGGGCATTCCGTCTATGACGCAACAGCCCAGCAGGCAGACCTCGCCCACATCCCGCTCAACGGAGCCGACGCTGCTTGGCACCAGATGCCGGGCTCGTCCGCTGTGGCCATGGCGCACTCACAAGATGAAGTGCACTGGCAAGGCGTCTACCCCGAACCACCCTTCCATGCGGGATCCAACGACTACGTTCCGGAAATCGAGACTTTCCTGGCCGACTTCGACAAGTCGGAATTCAGCTGGAGCTTTCCATTAGCCGGCATCGGCGACCCGTATGAGATGGGCAACTTTCCCAACCCAAGCTACTGACTATGCCGTTCTCCGTCAGCATTTTGCCGAAGTATTCCAGCCATTCAGGAGAATCCTATTTTAGTGGAATCAGCAGTCTCAGTTGCTGTGGCTGTAGAGCGTGGAAGCGGACTACTCCGGCTAGACCATTGTTTTTGGTGGTGGACGGAGTAGCCCGCTAGCAGATCCCTGCACAAGACCTGGACTACTCCGTCTCTTGCCCAAAATGGCCTTGAAGACGGAGCTGTCCAGCATCTGGCAACCGAGGAATCGTAGCTCTTCGAGAATTGGCGTCGCGAAACATGATGATTTGAACATCTTTGCGCACCAGATCACAAGTGAAAAAGATGGCAGTATTCCCCCGCTCTTGGCGGGTTGATTTGTTGGTGCAGATGTTGCAATCATGTCGTTCACGCTGTTGAGGGAGGCCCGTTCGATAGCATGCTCGTCACTCCGACAGGGGTCTCGCGCTGTGCGGACAAGACATTTCGCAACTCCATCAGGGCAAGTAGCGTTGAGTCCTTTAGAACCGGTGAGTCGTTCGTGACTTCTTGAAACGATTGGAAGGTTTTCTGACTTGCTTGTAGTACAACACTTTAGACTACGGCCTTCGGTTACAAGCCCTCCGCGACGTCCAAAAATCCAACAAACGACCCCTGACACTATCTGAAAAGGTTCTTTACAGCCACTTGATACCCGGCGAAGAAGGATGGGTTCTCGACGAGATAAAGAGAGGCAAGACGATACTGCGCTTGCGACCGGATCGCGTTGCTTGTCATGACGCGACGGCGACCATGGCGTTGCTCCAATTCATCAGCGCTGGCCTGCCGCGAGTCAGAGTCCCAGCTTCGGTTCACAGCGACCACTTGATCGTGGCCGAGAAGGGAGACAAGGAGGATTTGTCAAGAGCTGCCGGCGACCACCGGGAGGTGTATGCCTTTCTGAGTTCCGCGACGAAGAAATATGGGATAGGATATTGGAAACCGGGCGCCGGTATCATTCACACAACCATATTTGAGAACTACGCTTTCCCTGGTGGTCTGATGATTGGTACATACAGATTCTCACGCACCGAACGCGGGTGGCATGGGTATGCTGGGAATTGGCGTTGGCGGCGCCGATGCGGTTGATGCAATGTCCGGCATGCCTTGGGAACTGGCGTGTCCCAAGGTGGTCGGCGTGCGTCTGACGGGCAAGCTCCAGGGATGGAGCTCCTTGAAAGACATCATCTGCAAGCTTGCGGGTATTCTCACTGTCGCTGGTGGTAAAGGGAAGATCATCGAGTTCTTCGGCCCAGGCACCGAAACCCTCGGAGCGACTGCGATGGCTACAGTCTGCAACATGTCCGCAGAAATTGGCTCGATGTCCTGCATATTCCCCTATTCGGAAGCCATGTCACGATATCTTTCGGCGACAAAACGGAAAGGCATCGCCAAATACGCCGACTCCTTCGAGCAAGAGCTTCTTATTGCCGACGAAGGTAGCGACCGATACTACGACGACATCATCGAAATCGACCTAGCGACTCTCGAACCCCACATCAACGGCCCCTTCACTCCCGACCTCGCCCACCCCTTCTCTCAGTTCAAAGACCATGTTAGCGAAAGCTCTTGGCCTACGAATCTGAGCTGCAGCCTCGTGGGCAGCTGTACCAACAGCTCGTACGAGGATCTCGAAAAGGTCCGCGACCTTGTGATACAGGCGAAGAAGGCTGGGCTGGATCGCCCAAAGACACCATTTTTGGTCAGCCCAGGGAGCGAACAGATCCGGGCGACAGCTGAAGAGGAGGGTATTCTTGAGACGCTACGACAAGCTGGTGCCACTGTATTGAGCAACTCTTGCGGGCCTTGTGTCGGTCAATGGGACAGGAAAGATGTCGATGTCAAGGGGGCTGAAAAGAACTCCGTCATCTCCAGCTTCAACAGAAACTTCACCAGCCGTCACGATAGCAACCCTGCAACTCACTCCTTTGTCACATCTCCAGAACTGGCAACAGCTTTCGCTTTCGCAGGCAACTTGACCTTCAATCCCATCACAGACGCTATCCCTGTGCCCGGCGCGACAACGCCTTTCCGATTCACACCCCCAAAAGCGGAAGAGCTTCCCGTCGCCTTCTCCCATGGCGCCGATCGATTCCAACCGCCATTGATGGCTGACACTTCGGAGTTGACCGTCAACATCGATCCTAAGAGCGACCGACTACAACTCCTAACGCCGTTTGAGCCATGGCAGCCAGGAAACGCGAGTAACCTGACTGTCCTCATCAAAGTCCGCGGCAAGTGTACGACAGACCACATCTCCCCCGCAGGTCCTTGGTACAACTACCGCGGCCACCTCGAGAATATCAGCAACAACCTCCTTCTTGGCGCCACCAACGACTTTCTGCCAGACGCAAGCACCCTCCAGATGATTGGCAAAGCCAAGGACCTCGTCGACGGCGACAAGATCAAGCCCGTACCCCGAGCAGCGCGGAGCCTGAAGAAGGCGGGTATCAGGTGGTGCATCATTGGCGACAACAACTACAGCGAAGGCAGCTCTCGCGAGCACGCTGCTCTGGAGCCCCGGTATCTGGATGGTGTTGCCGTCATCACCCGGGGCTTTGCCAGAATTCACGAGACGAATCTGAAGAAGCAAGGAATGCTCCCTCTGACGTTCGCTGACCCTGCCGACTATGACAAGATCCGGGATGGAGATAAGATCACACTGTTGGATGTCGAGGAGGGAGAGTTGCAACCCGGGAAACAGGTCACGATGGAGGTTGCCACGAAGGAACGGTCGAGGTGGAAGGCGAAGCTGAACCACTCTTATGAGCTGAATCAGATCGAGTGGCTACGGGCTGGCAGTGCACTCAACTACATCAAGCGAGTTGCTCTTGGACAGAGCGCATGATGCTGTAGTGGTAGAGCTTTTATAAACATCATCTCGAGGCAGCGTTTTGGGCATGATACATCAACTGCATATTTTGGTAGAGAATCAACATAAGCGCTTTTGCATCAGACATCATCTGAATCCTCGATCGATGTGTGCTCCTTTCCCAACGCTGCGTTCTGGTCATGTTCCCCTTCGTGTTCTATGTCCTACCATGCAGCACATCAAACTTCTGGTCTTCCCTCTTTACCGACCCTTCCTAAAGTCTCTTCATTGGACATCTCAAGTCAACAAAATCTGCCAGAGTGGAAATCTCACGTCAGTAGGCTGGAGATATCTGCAAATCAGGACCTCCGCAATCGTAATCATTCCACGCCCAGTCAGTCCTCGCAATCTTCCGTCTCATACCCCACAGTCCCGGAGCGAGCAGACCATATGACGAGGTTGGGAATTCGCGGTCATTACTATTGGCGTCTGGGAGCAGCCGGATCACCGGTGAACACAATGGGGCCAATCGTCGTAACCACGTGCGCGTGGCCCCCGACATCATGAGTGCCTTACATTTCCTGGAGTAGCCTCACGGAGCAGCCCTTCCTCCTGTTCGCGGACTACTCCTGCTCACGGTCTTGTCCGCTGACTCGCGGATGTCTCCGTGAACACTAGAAATTTGGCCTTGGCTTAGGCCCAACTGGTCCGAATGATAACTTTGAGTGGCTGGACTGGCCCGAAAGACGGAGCAGTCCATTGTGCTTCTCCGGTACAGCAGGACTGCTCCGTCGTCCAAGAAAATGATGGCTAATTCATCTTTCGATTGCGGGTCTGGGGAAGAGGAGACGAACGCAATAAGCTTACAGCTGCCATATTTCACAGCCAGAGAACTGGGTGTCTGTGGGACACGCCAAAATCTGGGGTCGTTTTCGGGGTATGCGGGGTAGGAAGTTGGGGTGAACATCCTGTTGTTTGGCTTCTGCAAGGTCGTCCTGGGCTAGGTCCAAGTTTGGGCAACAAAAGACACCAAGTCGAGGGCGACTGGCGTGTCTTTCTGACATGAAGTTTAAAAGAGGACAGAGGACGGTTGGTTTCCAAAGTTGTTTTCTCAGGGCCTGGAGACTTTCTGTTCATCGACTTCAGAGACTTTACTGCTGAACTTCAAGCCGTTGGTTGTTCAAGTAGTCGAGCCGTCGATTTTTATATCTCCGAGTCCGAAGATCCAAGGTTCGAGAGCTTCTCAGCACACCTTTTCTCGATTCCTCGAAAATCCAACAGGCGAGCAAGATGGCCGCTCGCGAAGCCGAGACAAAGCAAGAAGCCACGCAGGCCACCTCAGACCACATCGACAGCACTCTTCCCGTCGGCGAAAAGGACTTCGTGTCTGAGAAAGACGTCAATGGCGATGATCTGGAGATGTCCGAGGAAGAGTACGCCGCCGTCGAGAAGAGTCTTACGAGGAAGCTTGACTTCACGTTGGTACCGGTTGTTTGGATTCTCTATCTCTTCAACTACCTCGACAGAAACAACATTGCGTGAGTCTCAAATCAGCGACTCTTATACTCACGGCTTCGTAGACTGATCATCACTTCACTTTAGTCAAGCACGACTAAGCACCTTTGAGAAGGATTTTGGACTCACTGGCAACCAGTTCAACGTTGCTGTGTCCATCTTGAATATCGGTTATATGCTTATGCAACTTCCAAGGTAGGCAGCCTTCTCGGCAAACTCTCTACCGTCATCAATGCTAACAATGGCAAAGTAACATGCTCCTTACTCGAACCCGACCGTCTCTCTACATTCCCGCATGGACAGCTCTCTGGTCTGTTGTTTCCGCTGCTACAGCAGGAGCCGAGAACTATACACACCTTCTCGTTATTCGATTCTTTTTTGGGAATTGCGGAGGCTCCTTTCTTTCCGGTTGGTCCTGACACATACTTCCTCTCTGAATACCGCTGACGTATTTGGTTCAGGGTGCCATGTACCTTCTGAGTTGTTGGTATCCTCGAAAGGAGGTTGCATTCCGCACTGCGATTCTATACTCGGGCGTTCTACTGGCAACTGCATTCTCCGGACTCATCGCAGCTGGCGTTCTCTCAGGTCTCGAGGGAGCTCGGGGTATCGCTGGATGGCAATGGCTCTTCATTATCGAGGGTACAGGCAGTTTCGCCGCGGCCATCCTCGGGGCTTTGCTTCTCCCGGATTTCCCGGGCCAGAAGTCGGGCGTTGCGAAGTGGTTGCTCACCGAGAAGGAGCAGAAGGTTGCGGTTGAGCGTATCCGTAGGGACAGAGTCTCGCTGCCGGAAGCGGACTCTAGTGTGTGGAACGGACTCAAGCTCGCTGTCAAAGATGCTCGAACATGGGTTTTCGTAAGTTGTTACCCATCTGTGTTCGTTGTCGAAGGGAACATGAGATTAACATTGATCCCGCAGGTGGTCATGCTCACGGCCAATCACAGCGCCTACGGATTCAATAATTTCTTCCCCACGATTGTAAAGGGCTTCAAGCTCGGCAACAACACCCTGACCCTGATCTTGACCGCGCCGCCCTATCTTCTCGCGACGGTCGTTGCCTTCCTGACGGCCTTCTCTTCTGATCGTCGCAAGGAGCGCGGTTTCCATATCTCAGTACCTCAGGGAGTTGCATGCATCGGCTTCATCATTTCAGTATCGACCATCAACAACGCCGCTCGCTATGTTGCTGCTTTCCTATACGTCTGCGGTTGCTTCTCGAGTAACGCAATGGTGTTCAGCTGGGCTAGCTCCACCCTGAACCAGACGCCTAAGAAGAGGGCGTGCGCGACAGCCATTATCAACCTACTCAGTCAGCTTGGCAATATCTGGAGCCCCTACTTCTTTCCATCGACAGATAGTCCGAGATATGTCATGGCAAACCTGCTGATGATGGCCTCGTCGGCGCTGAGTATCGTTACTTGCGCTATCATGAAGGTCATGCTAACTAGAGCGAACAAGAAGTTGAAGGCCGAGGGAAGGGACACAAATCTGTTTACGCTCTAAGAGGGGTAACTCGCGGTAGCTGGCACAAAACTTCATCTTCAAAATCTTGGACGTTGTAATGTACACGCGTGTATCGATGATTACAAATCGTGAATAATTGGTACATGTAGCTGAGCTTTTGAACCACGCATAGTATTTTGAATTCTAAACCGTAACAGCCCGTCAAATTAAATTCCTCACTTTGGCAGCCGCACACTCGTGCCGGAATTCCCGCGAACACGCGAACTCTTCCCGGTATTCGGGGCCCGACCGGGGTATGGGGCAATGTACTTCATCTCATGTTGATTCAAAGTTCCTACGTCACCGGCTGAAGACGGAGATTGAGTCCGACGCAAGAGCGTTGACGCGTAGATATGAAAAGGCTAACAAGAGCTCTTATCCTAGTAAAAACCCACTGCATTGCGATTGGCATTGAGTGTACATGCTAAAGATGATTTGCTCGGACTATTCGCGACGCGAGATGGGCGAGTCGCATTTTGACGTCCAAAGGCCTGAATACTGGCAGTGAGAGTACTAAGCCAAACTTCGAATTACAGCTTCGGATACTATGAAGCATGATCAATAACGCAAGTGATTGTTGCTGTAGTGGTGAGCTCCTCTTTCGCGGGGTAGAGGCACACGAGTTGCATTACGGAAACTCAACCTCATGTACCGAGGACTTATTACGCTTAATGTCACATCCGGCAGAACCTTATCATCAGACAGAATAAATACCCAACAAGATGACAACAATGCATTTCCCCTCACTTCATTGTACGGTACTCGACAAGACGTCCTGTTCCTTCACACTACCAGACCAACATGGCGCCCATCAAGAAAGACTTCGAAATCGCCATCATCGGCGGCGGCATAGCCGGAGTCGCCCTGGCCATTTCGCTCGTCAAGCGCAATGTCCCTTGCACCATATACGAAAAAGCGCAAGCCTTCGGCGAAATCGGTGCAGGATTGGGCATCACCCCGAATGCCACCAGAGCCATGAAGGCTTGCGACCCAGTTATATATCAGGTTTTTGACAGGGTCGCCCAACCAGACATTCTTTGGACTTTCTTCGACGGCTCAGATGAGAAAAAAGACGATGAGCCCATATTCACCCTTGGAGACGCAGAAGCTGGCATCAGGGGCTGTCACAGGGCTCATTTCCTGGACGGAATGATTCAACACCTTCCAAAAGACGTGGCCAAGTTCAACAAGCAGCTAGACCATGTTGAAGAGCCATACGGTCCTTCAGGAAAACTGAGAATGGTGTTCCAGGACGGTTCTACTGCCGAAGCAGACGCCATTGTCGGGTGCGACGGAATCAAGTCTCGCACCCGCGAAATCGTCGTGGGAAGCGACCATCCGTCTGCGACGTGCGGATTCACGCACAAGCACTGCTATCGTGGCTTGATTCCAATGGACGAAGCTCTGGAGATAATTGGAAAGAAACGGGCAATGGGTTCGAACCTGTGGGTAAGTGGTCCTAGATCTTCCTATGGCATGATCTTCCAACTAAATCGCCCAGTCTGCCAATAAGCGGCATATAGTTACTTACCCAGTAGCAAATGGCACCATCCTGAACATAGTGATGCATTGCACAAGCGATAGAGACTGGCCCAGCACTACGAATTTTGTTCTACCGGTCGGAGAGGAAGGCTGTTATGCGGATTCTGAGGGCCTGTCCCCCAGATTACGACGATTGGTCAAGAGGATGAAGTCTGTCGACAGGGTGGGTGCAGTCCATACTCCATGACTACTTAGACACATTGAAAACCACCAAAGCTGACAAAATCTAGTGGGGATTATTCGACCTCGGGGACCACCCCGTTCCGACCTTTTCCAGAGGGCGGATCTGTCTCATCGGCGATGCTGCCCACGCGAGCACACCTCACCAGGGCGCCGGAGCGGGGCTTTGCATCGAGGACGCCGCTACTCTGGCGTCTCTGCTAGCTGATGACCGAGTTGAAGGTCGGGACGACATCTCGGCGGCCTTCGCAGCATACGATCAATGTCGTCGGGACAGAGGACATCGACTAGTGGAGGGAAGCCGGCGGATTGGGGAGCTATACGAGGGTCAGACCGAGGTTGGAAAAGACTTCAAAGCTATAGAAAATGAAGTCCGGACAAAAGCAAAGGACATATGGGAGTTCGACATCAACGAAAGCATCCATCACTGCCTGGGCGATTTAGAGAGACGTCTGGCGGTCAAGACAGGGGCGACGAACTACAGACAGGGGAACTTCCGTGCCGGTTTGTAGAGGATAGTCTGGCATTACAACTTCAGCTATCGTTATCCGGCTCCATTTTGACGAAGTAATTCTGTGATTACTTTACTGTTCGAAGCGTCTGATAACTATTGATCTAGGTCGTCGCAGCAGGTTGGCCAGGACATCAACGCCGACTCAAAGGGTACACATCAAAACCTATTGCTAGAGCAACCGAGCCTCTTACAGCCGTGTTGAATCATTCTGTCAATTGTGCATCGCGAACCTTTCAAGACAACGAATGATTTGATTGCTTACTCGTGATAATTGCCATTGAGAGGTTGATGGGAAGGTGAGAAGAAATAAGACATTGCCTCAGCTGAGTGGCTCATCGCATGTAAGCTAGTGAGACAGTGTCTTGGATTCTATGGAGAATGTGGCAGCAGCTGCAAGGCAAGTTTCTCAAAGAGGCTACTCCAGAACGCGTCTCTCGACGCCACCTCTCCTGGTGGCAGTTCCTGTTCGCCCCTTAAGTCAGCACTAGAGCCATTGAGCGCATGATCGTCACACATAAAATCAACCTTTTCCAACGTCAACTTCTCTGCGGTCGATATTTGATACCACCACTCATCGCCCGCCATCCCAACGATTGCCATGGCGCCAGGAATTTTCATCGTGCCCGGCTTATATGAAAGCGTGGCCACCTTTGGGCCGCTCGTTGACGAACTCAAGAAAGCCGGGTACCCCTCAATCCACGTGGGAACCATTCTCAGCGGCGGGACCTCTTCAAAACGAGAGCCTCGCGGGCTCACCATTGCCGACGACTCTCAAGGCATTCGAACCGAGCTCGAACCGTTCGTTGACAGATGCGGAAGTGATGGCGTGATTCTGGTCCTCCATTCCGCTGGCGGCTTCATCGGAGCTGGCGCCATGAAGGGCCTGACCCAGTCAGCCTACGAAGATGAAGCAAAGAGGGGTGGAATTCGACAAATCGTCGGGATTACGGCCGCCTTTCTGCCGGTTGGATTTGAGCATCGGCCGTTGCCGTTCATGAAGATCGATGTGAGATGAGCTACCTTGTTCTCTGGTGACAGTGGCTGACTCCTGAAAAGGAAGAGAAGGGAACCCAGGGCCCTGTTGATGATATGGCGTTCTTCAACGACATGTCCGCCGAGGCTGCCAAGCCGTGGATCGATGAGTTTGTGCACCATCCGGCGCATGGATGGGGCACGAATATCGAATACGCCGGTTGGCACGACGTGCCTGTCGACTACATCGTTTGTGAGCGAGACCAGATCATTCCCATGCAGATGCAGGAGACGGTTGCGGCCGGTGCGGAGGCAAAGATTTATCGACTCGATGCAGGGCATATGGCGCAGCTGTCTCGTACCAGGGAGCTTGCAAGCCTCATCGTGGAGGCCATTCGCCGAATGAGTTAGCTGGGTGTTGCAGGACGAAAGATCATTCACACTCATACCACATCTACCAATTCCTTGGAATCCATTGCACTTGTAAGATCGAAGGTGCGTAATTAGAGGATATGGAACTAACACTGCGATAGAGAAGGGTAGTGATTTGCAGCCATCAAATGACTACTTTGCCCACAAGACACATATTATTTCCATCGTGGACCTAGTTGAGATTGTCGAAAGAAAGATCATGAACAATCTTCACTTTGAGAGCCCAAGCTTCAACGTCGGAATCACAAACTATTAACCAGGACCCTATTGCCAGCAGTAATCGGACGGGTTCGTAATTGGCTTCCTTCGGTGAGACGTCATGCAGCGTCGACTCGATCCTTCCATGTCGTGTAACCCTATCCTCCAAGGCTTACTTTCCCATACAAGCAAAGATCTCCTCCGTCCTATACGCCCAAGACCATCCTTCCTTGCCAACCCCGCGTGAACATCGTGTATTGGCCCGGAATCTCGGCGCTGCTATGCTAGAATGACCGCAGTTGCACCGACTCCTCGTTACCCTTGTACGGAAGGAAGAGGGTTATTAGAATCAGCTCCCCCCGTCACGGGAAAGGAAGGCTTTGACGATTTTCATCATATATCTCAAGAATGAACACGATGCCTCAAGGTCGTCGAGCCATAATTTCCTGCCTCGTCTTGCTCATTACACTGACATTTTGTACCTCCGCATTACAAGATGCAAAGGCCTACTGCCAGCTCCTCCAATCTGAAATACCCAACCGCGTAGCATACCCAGAGACGCCAACCTACAACGAGTCACTCTCGTCATACTACTCCGGCCAGGAACGCGACATCCGGCCGGGCTGCATCTTCCAACCCGAGACCGCCCACGAAGTCTGTCAGTTCATCAAGCTAATCACTAGGAAAGACGCAACATGTTCCCACGCACCCCCTCAATTCGCCATTCGGAGCGGGGGCCACATGATCTGGCCCGGCTCAGCCAACATCGACCAAGGCATCACCGTTGACCTGCGCAAGCTGAATTCTCTCGTATTGAACGAGGACAAAACTGTAGCGTCGTTAGGGGTCGGTGGTATCTGGAGCGACATCTACCCACAAATCGTCTCTCACAATCTGACCGTCATGGGCGGGCGAGTAACCGGCATTGGTGTTGGAGGTCTTGCTACAGGTGGTAAGCTACACTCCCGTGAAGATTCTTTCAGCACGTGAACGGATGCTGAGCTTCATTCCTAGGTGGCATCCACTACCTCGCCCGCCGCCACGGCTGGGTCTGCGACAATATCCACACCTACCAAGTCGTCCTCGCCAGCGGCGCCATCATCGAAGCCACGGCGTCCTCCCACGCGGACCTCTGGCTCGCGTTGAAAGGCGGCTCCAACAA